TATATCATTTTAATACTTTTAATATCCGCTTATTTTTTATTTTCAATAATATTTATCATTCTCCTATTTTGTGGAATTATATTCCATTCTTTCAAAATGCAGCATTTCAAATCATTGACAGTCTGAAATTGTTTTCCTGTTGCATATATTATTATTTTGTAAGTTTTGACCAAACATTTTCAATTGTATTCAGATGCAGTGTCCTGGCTATTCAAGAAGAAATGTTTGATTTGAGAAATATTTTTTTATTTGTTTTGTCATATGAATTATGGCATTATCTTGTTGAAAAATATAATTTTGACCTGCAATCCGCATGGCATATTTATCAATCAATGAAATGTATTTTTTATTGTCCATACGATAGTTAATAAAGTTTATTTCAATCTACAGCGACTTAGAAATACTCAAATCGTAAAAATAATAATTCTACCCATCTAAGTCCACCTAATTAAATTTTTTTTCATCCGAAAAGATAATATTTTTTCACTTTTTCTTACATTGAACATTTTCGCGAGCAAATTATAAAAAAGGTATTTTTGTCGTTAAAGGAGATATTTTAATCTCAACTGTTGAAGTTTTACTTTATTGTAAAATATTTTGAATAGTTGTATATTCTAACACTAATTTCTGCAGCAATTTGCTGAGCTATACTTTTAAAATTAGAGACAGTTAGTAAAATGGCTTGTTTTTCACGAATTGTTATTGCACATCCTCATTCCTTTTTTTTTTTCATATTAATTAAGATTTTTTAACAAATCTTTACGGCTTCTAATTCAGTAATTTTGCAATTTTTGCAATATAATAGTTTTCACATCTTATTGCTAAAATACGCTCTATTTCATTTTGATTTAACCGTTTTTCATGATCCATTTTTAAATTTTCTATTTATTTCAATACTAAATGATATTGAAATACTAACTCTATACTTCTTCACTTAACAGTTCAACTATGATTGAACAATGAATATATTGGAAATGTATTATTATTTTGTTCGGATTGTAGTAGCTAATGTTTACGTTTTCCTCTAGGAATTTTTTCAATATAAAAATAATTGTTAATATTTAATAATTTAGTCATTAGAGATACATATAATATATAGGATATATGAAAAGTAATTTATTTTATGTGTATTTTAAAATATATGATATTCTTTCAGATATACTATCATTTTATCACGCAATATATAAAAAAAAATGCATAAAAATTATATCTTTTTTCCTAATACTACAAAACAATTTCTATGTTAATTATCAATAGATCTCAAACAACGCTTACAAAGACGCAGAAACACTTCATTTCTGATACCACGCGCCGTTATGCTTGTTCTATAATTAGTGCTGGTAACTGAGCAAAGTATTAAACTAATTTACATTGGACATAGTTAAATTGCGATTCGTGGAATTTTTTCTTTTCACGAAAAAATAAAAGATAAAAAGACAATGAAAGAACATCTTTTAAATAGTTAATTGAAATTGACATGGATGAAAAATCGTATTATTTTCATATTTAAAAACTTCCTATTCCAAAAACTTCAATTATTCAAAAAATTCATTGTACCAAGATATTGAATAGATGATACAAGTTGTGAGGATAATGCCGTTTTTGAGAGAAAAATTTAGAAGATCCTTGAAATTGTATATTTATTATGAAATACTTCGGCATAGTTGGAGTGTGAACATGATCTTGGTATTTGAGATGATATTTCTCAACTATATTAATTTCAACAATTATTATCCTACTTGAGAAGAATTATTATAAAAATTCGTAGAGTTTCCTAGGAATAGAGAAATTTATAGGTAGCATAGCCCTTTATTTTAATTAAGAGAAATTTTCTTTAGATTGGGGATCGCTAATCAGAGAGCTGATCCACGATGTTATTGAGGGCATGATGTTAGAGAATACAAACGTTTTGATGGAATTAAAAAAAATCAGAATTTTTTCACATTCAAAACTTGTTGAACCTTAAAACATTTTTAACCTCCAAATTCTTTGAACATTAGAACTTTACATCTTAGAATTTTTCGAACTCTTGAATTTTAATCTGAAACATACAGAATTTTAAAACTTTGTGAATTTAATGATAAACGTAAACCTAATTAGCATATTAAGCTTTGCTTTTGATCGTTTTAGAATAGAATTTGTTAATAGCGAATTTGTAATAAATTAATTTTATTACTATACACCATAATTCCAAAAACGAAATGGAGCTAACATATTACCAAACTTTTATTTATAAATAACAATAAAATGTTCTTTGTGCTCAACAAAGAAAAATGGACACATTGAAAAGATTATATTTAAAAAATTATGATCGAAAAATAATATTACAATATATAAAATTGTTCATAATGATGCAATGACTTTTATAAATTAAAAATAGTAGATAGATTAATAGATTTTTTTTTTTTTAGTCATTATAATAATTTTGTTTTGAATAATGAAATTAGATACATTTCAGTAGAATTAATGAATAGACACATAAATTTTATAATTTCGAAAATAAATGTATGTAAATATTAATGAAATTAACGGAAAAAATAAATTTTGTTATAAAAAAAAGTATAAATGTGATATAATTGGTTTTGTGTCTAATAATAATAAATTATGATGCAATTTATAGCTTAAACTGACTATTATTAAATTATCAAAAAATAAATATTTGTTAAATATAATATTTTTTCGATATTATGAGATTAAATATAATTTTATATAATTTATATAATAATTTATATTAATTATTATTACATAAAAGATAGAATAGTACAAATAAAATTATTAATATAATTTTCCATATCTATTGTAAAGATATTGTATAAATTCCTTTTATATAATAAAATATATATTTTTTAATCAATTCATGATATATTTAAAATTTCCATCAAAAATGAGAATATTTTCTATATAATGAAAAAATTCAAACATAAAATTATAAAATCTTTCTTCAATCATTATACAAAAATTTAATTTTTTTTCTTTTGTTAGTTATGATGTTATTATGTTATCAAAAAATCATATTGTTTTTATTAAAATATTTTGCAATAATTATTAAATAATTGAAATCGTTTCTTAAAATTATTTAACACCAGTATTATATATTAAATATATAAAAGTATTTTTCAAGAAAATTTCTTATCTTATTTTAAGAAATATAATATCCATATCAATAATTGTGAATCGAAATTATAATTTTTCTAGATATATTATAATAATTATAAAAATTCTTTATAGTAATTGTTGTATAGTATTTTAAAAGATTACAACTAGAAATTGCAGTCAGATAATAATTAAGAAAAAAAAAGAAATACACAATTATATTCTTTGTTTTCCTTAAAATTTAAAATAATAATATAACTTTATCTCATATATATAAATAATATAATAATAGTGTATGTAATAATAAAAGTTTTTTTCTGAATCTTACTCTATATAAAATATTTTAAATTTTTAATTTTAAAATATATTAAATGATTATATTATATGTACATAAAAAATTAGAAAATGAAATGATAAAAAGAATAATAGAATATTTAGAATACATAAATTTTTTAAATTTTTAGAATTATTTAATTTCGTATTGAAATCTTTGAATAATAATTTTTTGTTTAAATAATCAATAATAAATATATAAAGATCAATCAAATTATTTCGAATTATAAAAATTAAAAAAATTTCATTTATTTTAAAATATAATTACGTTATTTCTTCAAAATCTAGATTTATTACATTAAATTTAATTTAACTTTTAATTTAATTAATTAAAAAATTATAATGGTTTTAAATCTAAAATATAAATTATAAATAACTATATATATATTATAATATAATATACTAAATATAATATAATAATCCAAAGTTAATTTAATTTGATATGATCCCAAAATTTTATCTATTTTTATATCATAAATTATTATAATATTAAAATATTAATTTAATTTGATATGATCCCAAAATTTTATCTATTTTTATATCATAAATTATTATGACGTAATTAACCATTATTATTATTTATCATAAATTATTATTTATTATTCTGAAAAAAGTATAATACAACTTATTAGAAACTTACATATTATTTACTTACATTGAAAAAATTAAATTTTAAAAATCAAAATTAAAGAAAATTCTTTGAGCAATTAAACTAAGGTTCAATATCTATTTATATCTACAGATATTAATTTTAATTATTAATAAAATATTTGAAAAATATAAATATTAATACAAGAAAACTATTAGAAAATAATTGTTAAAATTCTCTTTTTAGAACTTAATTTTTTTTCTTTAGTTATTCTTTAAAACATAAAAATTAGTTAAGAAATATTCATAATTATTTATATTATTATTTAGTTATTGTATGTCTCTGAATTTTTTATTTTATTATAAGTACAAAAAGATCATATACATAAATATTATAATATAAAATCGCTATTATCGTTAATTAAAATATAAAAATAAACATGACTTATTATAATTTGTTATTATATTATAAATAATTTTTTCATATATTTGAATGATATTTACTTATACATTAGATTTTAAATTAAAAAGAATCTTATATTTTCAATAAACCTTATTACTATTTATATTATTATATCATATTATTTATTGTTATTTAAACATTCCAGTAAATCTTCTATCTAATTTGAATCTTAAATATCATGTTTTTTTACATTTTTTTTTTCTATAAGATCTATTACATAATAAATATTATCCAACAAAATTTTTAATAAATTTACAATTAACGATTTTTATTTTTTCATATTGTAAACAATAAAATGTTTATATGATTTTTTTATGTATAACATATTTAAAGATAAAACAATATAAATACGAAAAATTATATATATATAAAAACAAGTTTCATAATAAAAATAGCTTTCCGCATAATCATATCCAATAAATTGATGTATCTGTCCTATGTTGTATTGTGTGTATCTACTTTCGCTGCGCACACCGTTTAGACGACTTTCTTTTCGCGCCTGCGCATTCTTTGTCCTCAACAGAAACAAGAAAGAGAAAAGCCTTTCTGAAGCAAGCAAAGAGAGTAAAAAAAAGCAGCTTGTCGATTCGGAAGAGAAGAGAGAGGCATCGATATCGGAAGTGGTACAGCATTGCCAGAGGGAAGGACGTCGAATCTAGGCCACAATCATGTTCTCTTTATATTTGCGCAAATGTATAGGTATGTCAATGATTTTCATTTTTTTTTCTTTGCATTCTCAAATACAAATACTTTTCTTTTATTTATTTTAAATGTTATATTGATTCAAATTTATTGATTATTGATATACTTCAGATATTTACAAATTATGTTAAATTTAAAATACAAAAATGTATCAAATGTGCATATAATATATTGTAGAAAGATATAAAAAATAGTATTTTACAATTTGCATATATAACATATGATTTCAGTTTATTATATAAATTATACTATATAAATGAAAAATAATTTGTTTTTTTAGAAATAAAAATATAATATTTGTACTTTAATAATTAACAAATTAATTACTTTTACAAATTAATTAGTTTTATAATGATTTGAATTTGAAACAAATAAAAAAGCAAGTAAATAAATATCTGTGCTAAAAAAGTACTTTTATACAAAGCTTTCTTTTTTTAATCAATTGTTTAAAATTATAATCGTTTAAAAACAATCTCTTTTCTTACTAACATTTAGAATATTTATACATTTATTTTTTTATATGTTTTATTTTTATATATATGTATAATATATTTTATTATGAGAATATTTAATAATTCTTTTTTTATATATAATTGTGCCTTTATTTATATATAATTTATATAATTTTATTAATGTTATTCTATTGTATTTTATTTAATTAAATTTATTATTAATAATAAACATTATTGTTATATATTATTATATTATTACATTAATAAACATTATTAAAAGAAGAAATATTTTATATAAATAAATATGTACAATATTTAACGATTAAATTTAAAAAATTAAATTTGTAAATATTAAAATCATATTTTAAATAATTATCAATATTAAAAAAAAGTGGAACGAATTTCATTAAATTCCAGAATGTTGGATGAAAGATTTAAAAAAAAATGTAAGTAGAATTATTAGAACGGCCAAGATTTTCATCAATTGAATTTTTTTTTTTAAATTCTAAATCGTGCAAGAAAATTTTCACAATCATTAAAATACATTTGTAATTTGTTATGTAGGTCTTTCTACATTAATATCCGGTCGAGTATGCGATAGAAAACGTAATTAGAAAGCTTTAAAGAAGAAAATTTATTGAAATATTCATGCTATTTATCAAATGATGGAAGATTTTTCCATAAATATTTAGCAATCAAATATTTCATATGTATATGTGTTGTGTGTGTGTGTGTGTGTGTGTGTGTAAGTAAAAATAAGAATAAGGTTACATTATTAATCTAAAAATTTAATAAACTATAATATAATGAATTTATAACTTTAAAATTTAATAAACTATAAATAATATAAATATAAATAAATTTTGTTTGATAGTTACATTACATAATAAATAATATGAATTAATATAAATAAAAATATTTAATAATTCTAATAATTTTGATATTTTTTTTCTACTTAATATTATATTATTATAATTAATATTATTTGTTGAAAATTTATGCGATGAAATAAAATATAACAAATAAGACTATATTTAATATAACACTATTATAAATAAATATTACATATGTCAAGTAAACAGTAGTCAGTAAACAAGGAGTATTCCTTATGACTACTTGTTTATTTGAAACAATAAAATATATTAATAATTAAATTTACATGTTCTTACTTGTTTAACTTACTTGTTTCATGCAGTTTGTGTATTATAAAACTTGATTTTATAAATAACAGATAAAATGCTATAGGAGATTAATCTTATTAATTTTTTTAGAGTGCTATACTTATATTAAACTTTTCGTTTTCAAACTAGATTAAGATTACATGAATCATTCAATTGATAATATAAGAGTTATGTCTATTTGCTTTGTCTTATAATATATCTTATAATATTAATATTACAATGGATATTAAATAAACAGATGTATCATCTTTTTTAATAATCTTGTGATTCTAAATTTCAACTAAAAAATTTAATTTTTTATTATGGTGATATCATCTGATATTTCTTTGTTCAATATAATTAGAGCAGTATATAAATAAATGATTATATATATATATATATAAATGTAAAAATCAAAAATTAATTTGCCATTAAAAAAATAACAAGAAAATTTTTAAATATTGTTCTAGATACCAAGTTCTATTTAGCTTGAATAAAATTTATGGAACATATAGTTAAACTATATGTGACTGGAGAAAGTGAGGTATATACATAGATGTCCAACTATAACTAGCGATTTGAGGTCATATAGCTATCGAATATTAAAAATCCGATTGTTTAAAATGAAAGATTTTAAGGATTGATTCAAAACTGATTCATGATCATGTTGTTTTAAAAAGTAAAAATATTATTTCTATAAAAATCTAATTTCCTAAAGGAGGAAAGTTAAGAGGAAAGTTAAGAAAACTTATTTATAAATGAATTGTAAGAGGGACAATGTAATACTATCGCAATACTTTTATTACTAAAATTTAGAATTGTATATCATTGAATGATTGAATCATTCATATACATTTTTATATTCTGCGAAAATATTAATAGATAATTGTATAATGAATAAAATTATAAAATGAATAAAAATTTTAATTTTCTTATTAATGAAATTTTTATATTTATGATTATCTTTTTTATAATTTATAATATTCTATTATTGTTTCTATTTTTCCACAAATATTTGAGAGCTTAATTTATAAATTTATAAAATTTGTTATTCAATTTAATTATTTTTTTAATTTAATTCGATATCCGATAATTGCACTTGTTCAACTATAAAATATTTAAGATCAATTGTAATTAAAACGATGTTTAAAAAAATATTATTTAAAAAAATATAGAATTTTAATAAATTGATTCTAGATTAGATTTTAGATTAGATTCAAAAGTTATATGTATCAAAGCATAATAATATATGATAATAAATTATATAGGCATTCATATGAAATATTCTTTGTTTGATATTACAGATAAAAATTAACAGCAGTTAATATTTTTTCCTGCAAACTTGAATTGTTTTTGTGGAAAATAAATAGAACATAATGATGACATGAAAATATAGATAAATCAATTTTTTTTCTTTGCAAATAAAAAGATTTCTTATATATTTTCATATATTTGATCTATTCTTAAAAATTACCTATTTAGGAAATGGATACAAAATATCGATTTTTGTTATATTTATCAAAGTATTCCAAAGAAAATTTTTTTTCTAACATACATATAATATAGATATCTTCTGGATTCAGTTTAAAATAAAAATGAATGAAAACTGAAATATAAACAGAGAAAGATTCAACAATTTTTTATTATTTATTTTGTTTATTTCATTTAAACGAAAGATTGATATAACTATAAGTGGATAATATAACTGATGATAATTATTTATCTCTAAACAAAAAAAATTAAGAAGAATTTTTAAGAACAAAATGTAAAATAGAAATTTTAAGAAAATTCTAATTATCTATTATATTATTTATCTTTTATTTATACGTACTTAACTGAATATATTATAATATATTAATATATTAATATATTATAATATATATAATATATTATACTTATTTAAATATTTACACATATACATATTATTTGAAGTATTCACAGAAAGGATAACTATACTATAAATTTTCAATAATTAACCATGTATATAAATGTATAATCAAACACATAAATGTATAATTGGATTGAAATGGATGGTAAAAATAATAAAAATATATTTGAAATTTAAATGAACAAAAATAATTTTGTATCTTTTTATATAATCTACATTTTACTTCTAAGAGAATGTTAAATGCATATATTTTCAATAAAAAGAATTTACTCATTTAGCATTTTAATTTCATTATAATATTATTCAATCCAAATCAAACATTGGAAATTTTGCAAACGAAACAAAAAATTGTATGGTATTTTTTATTATCATAATTTTCATAAGTATTTAGTATTAAGTATTAGCAAAAGATGTGCAAATCTCAATCATTTTTTACAAATGATACAAATCCAATCTATTTTTCTAATTGTTATAACAAAAGAACTCATAAATACGATTATATTAATTATCCAATAAACTCTAAATTATGATTACTGATATTTTTGATATCTTTATCCTAATTATATGTACATATATATAAAATATAAAATGTATATATATGTATATAATAAATTACAATTATAATTTATGAACATTTCATTTTTCTTTTATCAGTATATTCTTTAAAAAAATTTAAATACACTAAGTATCTAAACATTTAGAATTTTTAATTCGAAATTCAATTAAAAATCTCGAAAAATATAAAAAAAAATATAAAAAAAGTTATATGATATCAAGGAAGATGAAGATTATTATGTCATTTATTTGATTTTACAATGTCTCTAAGTAGATCTGCAAAGATTAACGTTGAATTTTTAAATTAAAATCTATATTTTTTATAGTAAAATATTATAACTGCTATAAAGATATTTTTGATACATTAAATATGTTTGAGTTTTTTCCAAAATATAAAATCTTCAAAATATATATATACATCAATATTTGCCAGATATAACATTTGTTTTTTATACATATTAAAAATAAAGTAATATTTTTACATATATATTAAAAAATATTCCAAATTGAATCAAAATTACTGAAAATATGAATTATATTTAATAAGATTATTAAAACATATTAAATATATCAGCAACATTATAAAAAAATAACAGAATCTTTATTAAAAGTAAATAAACTTGTACATATCGATTTTTTTTTAAATTACTATAATATATCGTATATACAAAATCCGAATATATATACAATTTTTCCAAAGTGTATCTAACGCTAATATCAATAACATATGAAATTTCGAAAAAAAGCTTATGCTAAAGATAAGTAATGTATTGAAAACATCTTAATATCAATTAGAATAATCCAATAATAAAACATAGATTTCAATTTAAAAATTTAACATTAATATTTGCAGATTTGTTCTGTCAGGGATGTTACAAGATCAAACAAATGACTTGTTCCTTTTAATATCAAATAAAATTATCTAAAATATTTCTGTATTTT